GAAAATGGAAGAGGAAACGCCCCGTGTCCTATCACCCAACTGGGAGGAGGCCCAGCAGTTTTAAGCCCCATCCTTTTTTTATTTTTATTTTTTGCGGTACGCGGGCCTCTCACTGTTGTGGCCTCTCCCGTTGCGGAGCACAGGCTCCGGACGCGCAGGCTCAGTGGCCATGGCTCACGGGCCCAGCCGCTCCGCAGCATGTGGGATCTTCCTGGACCGGGGCACGAACCCGTGTCCCCTGCATCGGCAGGTGGACTCTCAACCACTGCACCACCAGGGAAGCCCCCCATTCTTAAATATAAAAAATAGCCAAGGACATGAGACATTTGAGGTAAGCTTCTTACCCAAAGGTCAAAGAGCAAAGCAAACAAACAGATGGAAGGAACTCAGGAGACACAGATAATGCAGGGAACAGAAGAAAACTGTAATTAGCATCCCCAGAAAAAGAAGAACCAATACCAAGAACAAGGCTAGGAAAAAGAGAGCAGGGACGAGCTCCTGACATTTTACAACATGATAAAGGAAATAAAACCTCAACAGAGGGACTTCCCTGGTGGCACAGTGGTTAAGAATCCACCTGCCAATGCAGAGGACATGGGTTCGATCCCTGGTCTGGGAAGACCCCCACATGCCGTGGAGCAACTAAGCCCGTGCACCACAACTACTGAGTCTGCACTCTAGAGCCCGCGAGCCGCAACTACCGAGCACGTGTGCCACAACTACTGAAGCCCGTGTGCCTAGAACCCGTGCTCCGCAACAAGAGAAGCCACTGCAATGAGAAGCCCGCACATAGCAACGAAGAGCAGCCCCCTGCTCGCCACAACTAGAGAAAGACTGCGCAGAGCAACGAGGACCCAATGCAGCCAAAAAAAAAAAAAGAGAGAGAGAAAAAAACTTCAACAGAAAAGCTCAAAGGTAAAGATTAAAAAACAAAACAAACAAACAAAAAAAAACACCTCCTGAAAAGCAGAACAAAAAAGAGATGGAAAATCCCAGGAAATTGTAAAGGAAATTTGAGGCTCAATCCAGAAGTGCAACATTCTGCTTAACAGGAATCCCAGAAAAAGGGCTAATAAAGTGGAGGGGGGAGACATGATCAAAAAACATTCAGGAAAACTTCCCAGAACCACAGGACGGGAGTTGCTTCCACACTGAACTGAAAGGGCCCATCAGGTGCCCGGCACAATGAACATCCCACCTCTTGTGAGGTTTCAGGACAATGGGGATAAAGGCAAGATCCTAAAAGCCAGGGGGGAAAAAAAAAAAGGTCACATACAATCATTAAGGATCAGAATCCAGCAGACTTTCCAAAAACAACACTGGAAACTAAGAGAATGTGAAAAACATGCCTTCAAAATTCAGAGGGAAAATGATTTCCAATTTAGAATCATATTCCCACTGAACACCAATCGAATCAACAATATAATAAAGGTATTTGCAGATAATTTTCAGATTTCAAAAAACAAAACTCCCATGCAACTTTTTTTCTCAGGGAGCTCCTAGATGTGCGCGAACTAAGAAGAGAGCAGACGTCAAACGTGGAAAAGATGGCATCCAAGAAGCAGGTGATTCAGGACAGGAGAGGCAACAGGATTCCCGGGATGACGGTGAAGGAAAGACCCAGGACAACAGCTGAGCAGAAGGAGGCCTCAAGGGCAAGCAGTGCAGACGGGAGCAAGAAGGGCAGGGCTCCAGGAGCACCACCGCCCGGAAACCCTAGAGCTAGGAGGCGAGCTGATGTGTCTGGCGTCACTGACAGGAGGGCTTCTTTTTTCACTTGACTGAAGCATTTGCGGAATAAAGTAATGATAGAGACACAGAAAACAGAGCAAACCAAAAAGCAAGACAAGTAGTAACCGGAGGAAAAATGAAGTCAAACGAGGAAACGTCGTCTTGGGACACTGTAAGGCTCAGCTTTGAACAACATGTACAGACGTGTAATGACGCACACGCTGAGCACAGACTAAGGAAAATCATGATATGGTCACATTAAAAACATGAAGGAAAGAAAACGCGCGCGCGCGCGTGTGTGTGTGTGTGTGTAGTTGGAGGTAACACACCTAAATCAGGACCTTCCACAGCAGGAAGTCACTATGTAACACTACATAAAATTGAAAAATCAAGAAACAACAGTATAATCATATTTTTAGGTTATTCTAGAAAAAGAAACCAGTTTAAAGTAGGGTGACTTTGGGAGTGAGGAGGAGTTGGGGCAGTTCTGTGTTTCAAACATGTGCATGTATTACCTTAATAAAAGTAAAATTTTAGTTGTTTTAATTTTGTTAAAAAGAAAAGCAAATGTCTCTGCGATGCCCGGCAGAGAGTCTGGCTGTGACCTGGCCTGCGGGACGGGCTGGCTCCAGGCATTGGGACACTGAGGGGGAAGGGTGGGAGGAGGAATGAACAGGGAGGGGGCTTCTTTTTGAATTGTAAGGGACACACCCCATCACCAACTCTACAGGGGAAGCTCTTGCTGGCAGCTGCAGGTTAAGACCAAAAAAGGGGAGGGTCCGAGACAGAGCAGAGGTGCTCGAGCTGGCCAGGCCAGGGCCAAGCCCACTGACTCAGACACTGCCGGCTGGTGAACTCGGGGGCAGCCTGAACTTCACAACAGCTGCTGTGCTGTTTGTAAACTCCCTCGGAGAGGCCAAGCGGATAATAGCGTTGCTAGGAGATGTGCTTCGCAGGGCAGCAGGCTTCCCGGGAGGACCCCTACGTGGCTGGGAGGAAAGCTGGGACAGGCAGGGCCTGAACAAAAGGGCTTCTGGGGTGGGGGGAGCTCCCAAGCAACTGCTGCCGCCTCTGAGGCCTGGAGTGAGGATGGTGCGGAGGCCCCGGCGGTGCCCCCCCTTCTGCCATGCGCCCCAGACTTCAGGGCCCAGGAGAGAGAGGAGCCTATACTTGCCCCCCATCACATAGGAGACACCCCCCACCTCCGCCCCCAGCAGGGATCAGCTCTTTGCTTCTCAAGAAACCAGTCGGCACTGGCTGCTCCTGAGCACCGGGCAAGGCTGGCAGCTGAACGGAAAAGGGTCTCAGCCCCACCTTCCCCATCCCCAGCCTTTACAGCTCCCCAGGTGCCCAAAGGTCTCCCTGGGGACTCCACCGCTTCCAGGAACACCAGGCGCTAGAGCCCCAGTTATGCCCTGAGCAGGTCCCCGCCTGGCCGCAGTGTTCTCACCTGACAGAGCCGGGCCAGCCTGGGGATTCAATGAGGCCCCATGTGGGCGAACGCAAGGCATGCAGCAGGTGCTCAATCAAGTCCCTTATTCATTCGAAAAATGCAGAAGGAGTGAGCGCCCATCACGTGCCTGGCTCTGTCGCACAGGCTCTCCGCCCATTCCTGCCCTCATGGAGCTGACAGTCCACGAGGGAGACGGAGCAAACCGGGCTCGCAGGCTGTCTGAGCTTAACTGCAAACCGCGGTGAGGCCGAGAGGACTCGGACAGGGGGCTGGGAGCGGGAGCGACGGGGAGGCCTTTCCGAGGAGATGCTGGAGGCAAGATGAAGGAGGAGGCTCTGCAGCCACTGGGGAAACTGATGTGCCGGGTGGGCGGGAAAAGGGGTCAATGTGACCGCAGGGCTGGTGGGGCGCAGTCTGTGCCTGTCAGGTGCCTGCATTCCCTCGCCAAGTCCAAAGGCATTTCCTGTGCCCTGCGAGTCCTCAGGGATGCACAGGTTCAAAATGGGACAAGAAGAGAGACTAGCTTCTTTGGGGATGAGCATGCTGCACCCCAATATCCACTGAGCCCAGGGCTGGGGCAAAGCCCTCTGGGGTCTGGGAAGCAAATAACCAGTCGTGGTCAGAGCTGCCGGGCCTCGGCATAAGGAATACCAGGTCTGGTCACTCTACCCGAAACCAACAGTGCAGGTATGGGGAGAAAACAGGAAAACGCAGGACCATGAGAGGAGGGTGGGCATCAGAGCAGGGATCTTGAATTCAAGGGCCCTCCTTCCTATCCCCGCTGGCCTGTTTGGGTACAGGCCAAAGCATCGCTGGCCTGTGACTTGTCTTGGGGCCTCTGGCCACCCCCTCCCCTTCATCCACCCACCACCTGGAGATTTTCTAAACTGCAGTTTCCAATCACATCGTATTTTTGTGTATCACCAGTAAAAAGAAAATCTAAGTTTCCCTCTATGTCCCACAAGGCTTTGTATGTCCCCGTCCCTGCTCCCATGGCAATGCCCTCCAGGTGCTGGTCTCTCCTCTGGCTGTGGCCGGCCCCCTGCACAGCTCCCAGCACCTCCCAGCCCAGCACGCTGGGACTCCTCTCTGCCCAGAATGAATGCTCATCCACGGTACGACATGGCGGACGCTGACTCATTCTCTAAGACGCTGCTCCCTGCCCACCCCAGGCCAGGGCCACTGGGAGAGAGTGTCCCTGTCTCCTTGTGCTGACAGTTTAGGTGGCACAGACGTCCGGAGAGCAGGCGGGTTGAGGGCGGGCTTGCCCAGGGCCCAGCACAGGGCCTGGCCGGTGCTTGCAACTCGGTATAGGAGCGGGTGATGCTTTCACACCACACATGAGAACTGCCCCCTGAAAGGCAGCGAGTCACCTGTCCCAGTAGCACAGGCTCCTCCAGGGACAAAGCCCTCAGAATTAAGACACGTGGGGAGGGAGGTCCAGTCCTGCTACCACCTTACCACAGACCCCTGGATAAGCCCCTTACCCGTCTGTACCTGGGTCTTCTACCTACAAATGGACCACTTATTTGCTGCCCGCTCCCCCATCAGAGATGCCGGCACTGAGAAATGGGACACAGGTGGAGGGTCCCTGCTCCCAGGTATCTGTGGAGGTGTTTGGGGGCCGCCTCAGCAGGTGAGACGCTGGCTACATGTGTGCTGGTACCTGGATGGAAACCGTGAAGGGGTTCAAGAAGTGACGGCTGGCCCCTCAGGGAGGAAGCTGGGACACCCAGACAAGGTGGGTGCACAGCTCCCGGCCCAGCTCTGCACCCCCCTCCCCTGGCCCTCCCGGCGCCGCTCACGCTGTCCTCACCCTCGTAGCAGTCGCGCACGGTGCCGAAGTACACATAGTACTGGTCGTTGGTGAAGAAGAGGAGGCTGAGCCAGGAGTCGAAGGCGTAGATGGGCACGATGAAGAGGATGCGGACGATGTAGCGCTGCTCGTTGGGGCAGCTATAGCAGCGCAGGTGCATGTAGATCTGGGGGCAGAGGGGCCGGGTCAGTCAGGGCCCACGGCCCGCCTTGGCCCGCCTGCTCCACAGAAGGAGGAGACCAGCCCGTGTCTAGCTCCGTCCTCACTAGCGCTGGGACCAAGTTACTCAACCCTGAGCCTTGGCGTCCTCCTCTGTAAAGTGTGATGACACAAAACTTCCGTCGTGAGGCTGTGGGAGCATCAACCACAGGGCGCGTGAAGCTTGCAGGCTGCGCGTGGTGGCGCCGGGGCCACCACACAGACACCGGCCACGAGGCCACGCCCAAGACCGTGCACATCAGCCAGGGATGTGCCGGCATCCACAGCTGTGACAAGCTCCCTGGGGACCCGTGTGCACGGCCAGGTTTGGGAACTGGGTGCCTGGTGCAGAGGAGGCTATTAACATGCGTGTGCGTGTCCCTCCGCCGCCTGGCCTTTCTAAACACCTGGCCCCTAGGGCATGGAGCTAACACACAGGCGTCCAGGTGGTCGCCCACCCCACCCCGTCCCTTAACTAACTTATGGTGTAGAGGGCGGGAGGGACGGGACCCTCACTTTCACAGAAGGTGGGAGCACTTCCTGGCTGAATGGCTGCAGTGATGGCCTGTCTCATTTTCCCATCTGTTGAACAGGTGCAGTGCTGCCTGCCTTGCTGGGAAGTTGGGAGAATGCAATGTGGTTTTTAGAAAGCAGGAGAAAAAAAAAAGCTGCATACAAGTGCCAAGAACTGCTCTAACCACGATGCACAGTCCCAGCAGCCAGAGTCTCTCGTCTCCGCTCCCATGACTTCATGCTTGGCCCAGCCGAGCCCTGGGCTTGGGAGGAAGAGAACAAAGTATTCCCCATCTGCTGTGAGCCAACCACCTTGGAAGCAGTCGAGTTCTAGAAGGGACGGGGAACACTGGGACCCGAACAGGCTCAGCCTCCCCTCTTCGCTTGGCAACCTTCAAACCTTCTTCCTGGGGCAGCCAAGGCACATCCCAGCCCATGGCAGCCTCCCCGGGGACAGCGAGCACAGGGGGACGCGAGACTTGACTTCTATCCCAGCTCCGCCACCAACCTGTACGTGACTAGGCTAGTTCCCCTCCCTCCTCCGTCTCTGGGTGTCAATTTTCTCATCTGCAAAGGGATCACTGCCATCCTGTGCCCCTGAACAGTTCCCAGGCTCCCCTGTAGTTTAGGCCAGACACATGACCAGTTCTGGCCCTTGGAAGTGGGCCATTTCTGGTTGAGAAAGTTAAACACCCAGAGTGCCTTCTGCACACGCCCCTCCCCACAGTTGTCAGATGGATGATGTCTTAAAAGCTGCAAGATGCTAGAGCCACAGAACGGAAACTGACCTGCACTGGGCTGACTGAGCAGGAACCTGACTACCCCGGGTGAAGCCCCTGAGATTTCGGGCTTATTTTTTACTGCAGTGTAGCCCGGCCTGGCCTAACTAATACTCTGTTGGACAACAAACCTTTCAGGACCTCCCTAGAGGGCTGGGGCTCACTGGCTCAGGGGCTCCTGCCCGGCCTGGGTACCTGGTGGCAGGTGATGAGCAGGGCCGTCCAAACGAAGAAGCCAGAGATGGCCTGAGCGGCGGTTGTCATCAGGAACACGGGCTGCTCCATAGCTGTGGGGCTGCCTTCGGGCATCACGGAGACACTGGGCGAGGCTGCTGCTGTTGTGGGCGACGCTGGATCTGGGGCCAGTGCGGCCCCCCTCACAGTCATGGTGCCCGGCAGCAGGGGGCTTCCTGAGAGAAACCCTCGGGGTAAGCGATGAGCTGGCCTAGAGAGAGGGAACCGCAACGTTAGCCTCCTTCCAAGCGTCAGTGGCGGTGTTGGAAAGAACCTTCCAGGTCTCTACTTCCACTTTCAAAATGTGACCAGACCCTGACCACGTCTCACTCCAGCCCCCAGCATGTCTCCCCTGGATTAATGGAACAGGCTCCTGACCAATCTCTCTGCTTCTGCCCTTGCCCACACCATCCCCACAGGGCAGCCGTGTGAACCTTCTAAGATGTTAGCCAGATTGGGTCCCTCCTCTGCTCAAAACCCTCCAACAGCTCCCATCTCCGTCGGAGTATAAGCTGCTGTCCTTACAGAGCACATGGGCCCTCCGTGCTCTCTGATCTTATCACAGTTCCCATCTCGATCCTTCCCTCCAGCCACACTGGCCTCCTGCTGTTTCCTGGACACGCCAAGCCTGCTCCTGCCACAGGGCCTTTGCACTGGCTGTCTCTGCCCAGCCACACAACTCGCTCCCGCACTTCCTTTAGGCCTCTGCCCTGACCACCTGCTCAAATGTGGCAAGCCCTCCCTCACCCCAGGCGCTCCTGACCACTTTGCTTTGCTCGATTTCTCTCCAAAGCACTCACTACCATCCGACTCCATCTGACAAACTGTACCTTACGCACGTGTGCGTTAACCACCCCCTGCAGCAGACACAAGCTCCCTGAGGGCAGGGGCCCCGCTCCGCTCATGGCCGCATCTCTGGCACTTGGAACAGGGTGGGCACACGGCAGGCGCTCAGTAATTACCTGCTGGCTCCGCCCATCTTTACACCTCCGGGTCTAGCAAGATCACTTTAGCACTGAGGCATCCCCTCTACGGGTATGTGTCTTTTCTTTGCCATTTCTCCCCAGTTTCCCTAATGGCTAACATCCACTCCTCACCAACCAGCTGTGCCGTTCTGGAGACTTTGCGGCCCTTCCCCACCAACAAACTGCTCACCTTTTAATTTAGCTCATTTATCACTCTTCCTAAAAGCCTGTCCTGTTCACCTTCCCCAGTCAGGTACTTCCACGCATTTCACCCGCCTCTGTTGTTCTACGTAACACGCAGTTCTGTCATTTGCTCGCGTTTATCCTCCTAAGTCTGCCTACTCTTTGAGGCAAGACCACTTTTCCATCTTTAAATCCCCAGCACCGAGCTGAGCACCAAGGCCATTTGTAACATTTATTTTATTATCTATTGATTTTCACAACTTATTCCAAAAGGAATTTGAGGTACTTCAGAGAGAAGCAAAGAACAGAGTTGAGGAAGCTGGCCTAAAGGAAGATTCTGGGTGGGAGAGATGGGAGTGGGCGGGACACAGGATGGCACTCCAGGGTCCCAGGCAGTTACCCCAGGTGGGCTGTCATGTCAGCCCCGCACTTCCTGGTGGCAACAAGTTAATGGTTTCACGCTGGATGGTAACCCAGATATTACGGGAAGAGCTGTTGTTAGGGATCTCCTGGCAAGTTTACAAACAGGGACCAATGCTGGCCAGGGGCTAGAACCGCTCTCAAAGAGCAAAGCCATTCTGTCAGAACCACCCGGAACTGCTCTTGGGAGGGCCGGCCACTCCTGCATCCGCGAGCTTCCGAGACCCACGGACCTGACGGAAGTGCCTTTCAGTGCTGCCACCTGTTGACAGGTTAGGCACGCCGTCCTGGGGCCACGGAGCCTCCTGGCAACAGAGGCCCTGGAAGACTAACCTGCAATGGACCAGGGGACCAACCAACCACTGATGCAAACAGATGCAAAGGTGAGAGTTGAAAGAGTCCTGGCCGGGGCTCATGTCTCAGCTCCACCCCAACCAGCCGTGTGTCTGCACGGGCTCACTGGGCCCAGAGGGTCCCCACTGCCTGACCCAGAAAATGGCCAAACCCCCAAACCCAACCATCTCAGCCTGAACCCTGAGGTCAGCCCAGATGACCTCTCCCAGTGCCTTCCCAGTCTGAGCTGATATTCTCAGCCAAAACATTCTGACACCAACGGGAGGTTTCCCTGGGCCTTTCTGGGGTGCACCATGACCCCACAATGAAGAAGAGGTTCTTTGCCCACCATCTCCCCACCCTTCTGCCCCCATCTGAGCCATGTCTGCTCTTAGCTGTAAGTTATTACCCCAGGAGAGCCCTCTATATTGCTATTTTCCTATAAAAATAAATGATCTCTAACACACCAACCAAGAGAAGAATCTAGATTAAAAACTCAAAACTGGAGATGTCATCTATATAAAGAAACTCAAAACTGGAGAAGGTGCCTATATAAAGACTGGTGGTGCTTTGAAAAAGAGACACAGTGACAAGTCTAAGAATAGCTCCTGTAAGTATGGTTGCAAAACTGAAAAGCAGTGCCAGAAATATTTCCAGAAAAAGAAGATTTGGGTTGTAAATCATCGTCTTTGTCTGTCATCCCAAATTAAATGAACAAACACAAGGAAATGGGAGGGGGGGCTTCAGGAAGTACAAATACTCCCCAATCTTCTCCTTCTGAGCAAGGGCCGGGTGTGTCGAAGGCTGTTTTGTCCTCTACTAACGGCAGCGTTGAGAAGGCCCTGTACAGACTCCCCAGAGGGGAGATGGCTGAGCTCTGACCCCACCCTAACCTGCACCACAGGTAACCCTCCAGGGCATCTATGTAGCTTGTGGGAGCTGATGAAGGCTCCGCCCCGTTTCTTGCTGGGACTCTGCTTCCTCACACTCAAGTGCCCTCCTTATATAGGTCATCTGGTTCCCAAGAAGTCCACTCAAGAGAGGGCAGGTGACTTGCCCCCAAATTAGACGCTGGACTTAAACCCAGGTCCTATAACACGTTTTAGGTGCCTACTGTCTACCAACCCAGGCCGTGGATGAGCTGCCCTCGGGCTCCAGAGCCCCCTTCCAGGACAGGGGTCATGGCCGTCTCACCAGGGCCCTGACTTCTTCTTGCAGGAAGGGGAGGGAGGTACTTCCCAGGAGGGGAAGCCACAACCTGGGCGAGCACTCCGGCGGCCCGACCCACGCTGGCCACGTTTCGTACTGGGGGCCCTGTGATATACAAACCATTTACTTCACTCTCGGGCCGCCCTCGCTGTTTGCAAACCATTTTCCCCAACATGATCTCATGCTTTCTCTCACAGCAATTCTGAAGTAAGTAACACTATCTACATCTTAGAGATGAGAAAAATGATGTGAAACTGGGTTTTACAGCTTCCCGGGGTAGCACCAAATGACTTGAGGGTTTTCATAATAACCCCCCAAAATACTTCAGACAATGCTCTGACTTACAGACGCAGGGTCCCCGGCACCCAGAGAGGCAGGTGAAGGCAGCTCCTGGAAGGCTGCCTCCCAGAGCTCACCCTGTTACCAGGACCCCAGGCAGCTCACGGCACTAGACCCCGCAAACTTCACAGACGTGGGTGCTGGTGGCAGAGGATGTACACTGGGGTCCCATCCTTTCACACTCGGGATGGGCACCTACCTGGAAAGGACCTCTGCCTGCCTGGGTCCCACAGGTGAGCAGGACACTGGCCCGGTGGAGCCCCGGACCTGGGAGAAGTGGGAGTTTGCTCCCCGGGGAAAAGCCTCCCCCACCCCCCCGGCTGCCTTTCTTCAACGCGGCACACACCTGCCAGAGGGGGGGATACACGGATGCAGCTCAGAACCCCAGATGCTCTGGCAGGTCCCCTGTATTTTCTTAATCGACTGAACGTTAAAATTCTGCCAGGGTCAGGCAGAGAGCCTGAGAGGACACACTGGAGTCATCTTTCCAACAAACACAGCCGGAGGCCTCTGGGTGCTGTGCTGGCCATGGAAGACCCGGCCTCAGCCTCAAGGACTCACGGCTCCTCTACACGCCTGCTCGATGCAACAGGGGTACCCAGAGGCCTTACTTACCCCACCGCACTGCACAAGGGTGAGTGCCGAGCACCCAGGGAGCCCCGAGGAAGCACCAACTTGGCCAAGGCTGGGGAGAGGGGTGGGGCAGGCTTTGAAGGGGCAGGGACTTTGGGGCAGAGTCTCTATGGAGTGAAACGGAGCTCCAGCTGTGAAGTCACCAAGCCGGGTTCCTGCCGGACTCCACCGCCTGCTGGCTTGACTTCATCTCTCAGAGCTTCAGCTGCTTCATCTATAATATTTGAGGGTAACGACGTCATTGTCGGGGGAGTTTTCCGCTTTACACAAGCCCATTAGTAAATGGAGACAGAACGCGACCAAAAAAATGACCATTTTGCAACTCCTAACACAAATAATGGGCATAGATACAGACCATCAGTGGGTGATGAAGCCACTAAGTGAGAGGCTGATGGGGAACTTGATAAGGGATGGAACAGGCAGCACCCTCCAAACCCACAGTCAAGGTCAACATCACTAAAGAGGGGCAGCCAGAAGTGTTGAGCCCCCTAGTGAGGTGCACAGGCAGCACACAGCACCACCTAGGAAGGACCTCATCCCAAAAGTGAACTGGAATCAAAACAAGTCGCTAGAACTAACCACCAGTATCCAGGAAATACAGAGGGTAGCAAAACAAATGATACCACCAGGAAGTAGCAGCCAAAGCCAGACCATGGGACGGTCTATGGAACAAATGACCTGGTTTCTCCCAGGAATTAGGGGCTTATAAACAAAGGTGGCTGAGGGGCTGTTATAGAACAAAGCCAAGGAGACATTACAACTAAATGCAATGTCTACTAGACCTTGTTGGGTCCTGATGCGAACAAACCAATGATTAAAAGAAGACCTCTTTGAAATACACAGCACACAGGAATTCTTGACGATTTTGTTAGGTGCATGGTGGGTATGTAAAAATAAAAGTCCTTATCAATGGAGGAAGAATAATCTTTTTAATAAATAGTGCAGGAACAATTGGATATCCAGAAGCAAAAAAGAAAAAGAACCTTAACCTAAACCCTATACCATATACAAAAATTAATTCAAAACGCATCATGGATTTAAATGTAAAGTGTAAGACTACAGAACTTTTAGAAGACACAGGAGAAAATCTTTGAAACCTAGGGCTAGGCGAAGTGTTCTTAGACTTGACACCAAAAGCATGACCCTGTAAAAGGAAAAATTGACTGGACTTCACTAAAAGTAACAACTTTCATGCTGTGGCTCTGTGAAGAGGATGAAAAGACAAGCCACACAGTGGAAGAAAATATCTTCCAGCCACATACCCAACACACCAGCACCTAGAATACAGAGTATAGGAAGAATGCTCAAAGCTCAACAGTAAAAAAAAAAAAACAAACCAAAAAAACCCCAAACAATCCAATCAGAAAATGCGCAAAAGACACGAACAGACATTTCACTCAAGAAGGATCGTGGCCAACACATAAATAGCTGTTCAACGTTAGCAATTAGGGAAATGCAAACTAAAACCACAATGAGATATCACTACCCACATATAAATACGAAATAGTGACATCAAATGCTGGTGAGGATGCAGAGAAACTGGCTCTCACATACGTTCCTGGTGGGAGTATAAAATGGCTGAGTGGCTCTGGAAGAGAGTTCAGCAGTTTCTTGTAAAACTAACATGCACCTACCATACAACCCAGTAATCACTTTTAGACATTTATCCTAGAGATATGATTGTACATTCACCCAAAAACGTATACACAAATGTTCACAGCAGCTGTGTTTGTAATCCTCAAAACATGGAAACAGTCCAAACGTCCTTCAACGGGTGAAAGGTTAAACTCTGCTCTATCCAGACCATGGAATACTACCCAGCAACAAAAAGGAACAAACTATTGACACAGGCAACAGTCCAAACAGATCTCAGGACACTATGTTTAGTGAAAATAGCCAATCTCAAAAGATCACATACTGCCCGATTCCGTTTATATAACATTCTCAAGATGACAGGTCTATAAAGATGGAGAACAGATTAGTGGTTGGCGGAGGCAGCAAGCAAAGTGGGTGCACAGACACCCAGAGGGTAACACAGGGAGTTCCCTCCAGGCGGTGAGATACTTTGTATCTTGATAGTGGTGGTGGCTACAGGGGTCTACAGGAGACAAAACTGCATAGAACTACACACACATAAGAACAGTGAAAACTGAATAAGGTCTCTCGTCTAGTTAACAGTACGGTACTAATGTCCATGTCCTGGTTTTGATACTGTCCTACAGTAATTTGAGATGTCACCATTGGGGGGAAAAAAGGTACATGGGACTCTACATACTATTTTTGCCACTTCCTGTGAGCCTATAATTATTTCAAAATTTAAAAGTTTTTAAAGTGTTCTTATTAAGAAGAGATGTACAATGAACTACTTAAGGGCAAAAAAGAACATGACATCTGGGCTTTTGCTCTTTGAAAAGGGGGAGAGGGACAGATGCAACAAGATTGCCAGATGTTGCTAACTGTTGCAGCTGAGTGACTGACGGGTAGAAATGCATTCTATCAATACTATGCACTCTACTTGTGTTAGAAATTTTCCATAATAAAAAGCTTTAGACTGTAGAACAGTAAAATTTTCCACCAAATTTGTAAAGAGATGGGCAGTCACTCAGGAAATTGTATCAGAGATTTACTGGTTATCTTGTAGAAATGCAATCAGAAAGATTTGTCAAACCTAACAATGGAGCTCAACACATCTTTTTTTTTTTTTTTTTTTTTGCAGTACGCAGGCCTCTCACTGCCGCGGCCTCTCCCGTTGCAGAGCACAGGCTCCGGACGCGCAGGCTCAGCGGCCATGGCTCACGGGCCCAGCCGCTCCGTGGCACGTGGGATCTTCCCGGACCGGGGCACGAACCCGTGTCCCCTGCATCGGCAGGCGGACTCTCAACCACTGCGCCACCAGGAAAGCCCAACACATCTTTCTTTTACCAAAAAAAAAAAAAAGTTCCAATTCCCCATTTTTTCCTATGACCACTGGTTATCAGAAAGATGCTTCCCAGGGATGTTTCAAAAACATCTTAAGGCATATTTAATATGTCCCTTCACAGGAAAGGCATGTTATCACAATGAATGAGAAAGGAACTGCTCTTCGAAAGAAACCTCAGTTAGGGCAGAGCTTTCTGGAAAAGTATATGTGAAAATGCTTCTCCTGTTGTAGGATTTTATCACCAAAAACAGTATGTCTGTAACTTACAAAAAACGCTCATATCTGAGCTCCTAAAAGCCTACGTAACAGAATTTTCTAATCTGTTTAAAAATTTCCAAAGCATTTGAGTGGGTTTTGGACTCATGTGTTAAGAACTTTAAAATACCTTCCATTTAGTTCACAAGAACATCTGATTGGCATCAGGGACGATGGAAATGTACTAGCCAAATTTCAACAAATCCTCTGCGTACACAGTGGATGGGATGGAAAAATGAGTAACCCGATTTAGAAAAAAAGCCAATGATGCATTTCCTCTGTGTGCAGCTACATGTCCTGGGCAGGGATCTTTTTCAGGGACGGCGGCCATTAAAACCAAGTATCTAAACAAACGGCTCTTTCCCAGAGCATCAGAGGACAGTTTCCAAAAATAAGTACATGAACTCAAAAGGTTTTTGTACCACCAACAAAACTTTTTTTTTTTTAATTTTTAAAAATTATTACATCTTTAACTCATCCTTTGATTTCTGTTTTTGGTGTAGGTTTTATGATATACAAAGTATAACTAACGTAATACAAGTATAGAATAACTTCATCACTATCCATATATTGGGGGTGCATGCCCCCAAAGTTCTTCTACTGATAGGGATGTGTGGGTAGAGAAGGTCTAAAGAGTGGTGCTGTAAGCAGTGGGAAAAGCCAGTCGATGACATTTCTCTTAACTTTCTCTGCAATGTTTCTGCCTCTGCCCTCCCGCCGCCCTCAGACCCAGGCTGAATCAGACCAAAAGCCCAGTCAAGGCCCGGTCCTGCCTTTCTCTCCCAGTGGCCCACCTACTGGCAAGGTGGCTCCACACCCAGGCCCTCACTCACCCGCCTCCCTTGCAATCCTAGGCTCTGAGTCGGGGAAACTGAGCTGGAATCTTGGCGCCACCACCCTGCCGGGACTGGATGTCTCCGAATTTGTTTCCTGGGTGCATCGTGCTATAACCAGGACCCTTGGGCCAAATGAGTTTAGAATTCAGAGCTTTTCAGACTTTAGGAAGGATTACGGTGCTGTATGTGGTGCTTAGGCAGTAACACCCCCAGAGGGGTCTGGGCGGCACCTCAAAATCAAACACACAGTACTTCCACAGAGAAAGGTGAGATATTTTTAAAGACCCTAATTAGTCTCGCATCAATTCAGGTCAGATTTTTGCCACGAAATTAGCTTGCTGCAGACTTAGGAAGAACCTCTGGGATTTCGAGTGCTCTGGATTCCAGAAAGGTGGAGAAGGGACTTGGGCGTGGACCATCCTCCAGAGCTCCAGGGAGGTTGATGCTCAAGGAAGCAGGAATCCAGTGTGGTTTATTTTTTCACTTATTTTCAAACATGACCCCATCCCGCCTCCTGACCTGAAATCCTTTGAGAACATGTGAGGCTCTGAAGGTGGGATGCAGTCCTGACTCCTCTGCAGAGCCCAGGGTCCTGCCAGCTGGGTCCCAGCCTCCCTCCCTAAGTGCTGGCAATACCGGGTCCCTCCACACGTAGCTCTGGCCCCTGTGCCAACGCACCCTCCCCTCTGCCCTGGTCCTCGTGGCGGGTGACAACTTTCACTCACAGGTCATCCTCAACGTCACGGCCTCACCGAGGGCCGGCCCACTCACTCCCGCCCAGCCGCACCGTGCTCGCTCCATGAGGTTTGTTCTGACAGTGTTCCCGTCTCCCCACACCTGAGTCATCTCTCTGTAGGCCTGGCACAGTGCCAGACACACAGCAGGGACCTGGAAGAGAAGAATCAATCAGAGACTGATGAATGTCCGGCATTAAGCCACGTGCTGCACGCTGCTGGCTCTCCGTCACTTGGTCCCCTCCCCACCATCCAGAGCTCAGCTAAGGACCTGGACATTTGGCTGGAGGGAGGGATGGGCTGGGTGAGGGCAAAGGATGGAGGCTGAGTCACACCATCTCACACACATCTTCCATCGTGGAGAGCCACACCAATGAGGGCAAAGAACTTGTTCTATGTGCCTCCATCAGGACACAGCCCAGTCCACCTGGTGCGAGCAACAGGAAGGTGAGAACCTGCCAAGGTAGACACATTTTTACCAGCTGGCGCAATCTAGCAATGTTCCGCCAGAATAAGGAAGCTCCCAATCAAACAGGGCTAGAAGTCTCCTGGCAGGAACACTGATCAAGGAACCTCTGAAGGGTGATCGCTCATCCCTGTCTTCTCCCCAACCAGCCTGCAAGCTTCTGGAGGTCAGAGGTCATGTCTTATGTGTAGCTCTGATCCCCGGCACCTACGTCAGGGCCTGGATATGGTTAGCACTCAACAGGCTTTGGCTGGATAAGAGGGCAACCGAATGAATGTTTGGGCTTTGCAGTTCCTTCCAACTCTAAAACTCCTTGACACCCTCCACCATCCTTGTACCAAGTCCCGGGAATGGCATGTTATCCTGCTCCCCCCTCACACCCCCAGATCTTTATTCCCACCTGCCTTTGTAGCTATCCCCTTCTACGGCCTATTACAGTTTGCACGTGGCATGTCTTCCCTGGTCTTCACCATGATTGTGATTAGATTTGTTCCCTTAACATCCTGTGAGTGGGGCTCCATGAGGGCAGGGACCAAGTACTGTGATGAAAAAGTACTTGCTGAATGACTGCTTTGGGGATATGTTGACAGACACTCGGCCAGGGGTGTACCCAGAGCAGGCCTGTGGCACTCTACAGTTGACAAAGCACTCCTGACAGCCGTGTGGAGTAGGTCTTATTGCAGTCAGAACATCCTGGCAGGGGTATCAAGGTCCCCGGAGAGGGCCTTGGGGAGCACCAAGCCGCAAGGTTGGACAGAGTGCACCTTGTGGGTGCAGAAAGCCAGGCTTCAGGGGATCGAGGGAACAGGGTCGGGCAGACCCAGCTCCCAAGAAAAGGGAGGAGTGCCAGTTCATGAATGTCCTGTCCACCTCCTATTAGCTGCCAGAAGGGCACTTGAGAGCACAGGATCGGAGTACAGGGAAGTGAGGGGTCTCGAGTAATATTCAACCAGGCCCTGGCGAGGCCTGATGAACCAAGCCACGCCTTAGCAAACAACTCGGAGTGATGCAAACGCTCACGTCCCCTAACACAAGCCCCACCCCATCTTTCTCTGGGAAGGATGTCTCTGGCTGACTCCCTTTCTGAAGACACCCACCTTTTCCAGAAAAGCTACAGAGCTCTGTGTAGTCACTAGACTCAGACACCTGCCTTGGAATTTAGGTATTTAGGAGAATCTCACCATCTCACCCAGATCTTATTTGACCATTTCGCTTCATGCTTGGGAGACACCTTGCTGTTTCGTGTCTCCCACGGATTTCCTGCCTGGAAGGCTGAATAATGGCCTCCCGAAGATGTGCACATCCTAAACCCCTGAACCTGTGAATATTTTACCTTAAATGGCCAAAGGGACCTTGCAGGTGTGATTAAGTAAAGGATCTTGAGATAAAGAGATTATCCCAGATTATCTGAGTAGGCCAGATATTATCACAAGGGTTCTTACAGGAGTGGGAAAGAGAGGCTCTGAAGCTGGAGGAAGGGCCCTGAGAGCCAAAGAATGCATGTGGCCTCTAGAAGCTGGAAAAGGCAAGGCAACAGATTCTCCCCTTGAGCCTCCGGAAGGAACACGGCCCTGCCAGCGCCTTGGTTTTAGCCCCGTGAAATACATTTTAGACTTCTGGCCTCAAAACCAGAAGATAATAAGTTTGCATTTTAAGTCACTAAGTTTCCGGCAGTTTGTTACCAGCAGCAGTAGGAAACTAATACACCCAGTTTACAGATGAGGAAACAGAGGCCTGGAGGGCTAAAGTCCACAGAATCCTGGTAAACGGCTCCTCACGCTGCCCGTGCCGTCCTGTCAGGGGCCCAGATATCCAAGGGCTGTTGAAGAGCCGTGGGCTCTGGAGTCAGACACCTGGACTTGACTTCCAGCTCCGTCACTTACTCGCTCTGCGTCTGCAGGCAAGTTATACAACCTCTCCCTGCTGCAGCTTCCTCAGCGGTACAATGGGCTGCAGCCACACTTAGCTCCGAGGGAGCTGTAGGGAAGAAACAAGTCACTATAAGGAAGCACTGCGAACAGGACCCGGCACCGAAACAAGTCACTATAAGGAAAGCACTGCGAACAGGGCCCGGCACCGAAACAAGTCACTATAAGGAAAGCACTGCCAACAGGGCCCGGCACCGTACGACGTTACCTGTGATGATTCACTCCCGTTTCAATCATTGCATCCTTCAGCCAGGCCGAGAGAGCACACTCCCAACGGCCTCTGAGACCCGGGCCAGTCCTGTCTCTGGTAGTTGGCTCTTTTTTTAAATCTTCTGAGGTCATAGTTTCATTCATCAGTTTCAGATCCAAAGCCTCTTGAGCTGCACCCATGAAGTGCTCGCTCGGGCAGTTGCTACACACCCACGGGCCAAGCTGGGCTGGCAACACGCTCGCACGCACATCTCCAGAATACGGAATACGAACGCAGCCTGGGAGGGGTTTCGGTTCTTTTATTTAAGATACACGGAGGAATCTCCACCTTCGCGGAGCTCACTAGGCAGCACTTGACCTGAGCACGGTTAATCTGAACTGGCCACTGCTCTCAGTTCAGTTGCCTGGGGATGACGGGCCCTCCGGTCTCTGGGGGCTGTTTGTTCTGTGGACTTCTGGGTGGCTATCTTTTGGGGGAGGCTGACCCACATTAGAGCAGGTCAGCAACCCACAGCCTGGCCCTTCTCCAGAGATTAGAGGGAAAGCGCAGCCAAGGGCTGGGCGGTGCTGCCTGGTTAGCCTTTGGAAAAAGGATCACATGCCTTCACGAGGGGGCAGGGTCCCATCTCTCAGTTCCACGCCCCTTTGATCAACACGGACAAGCTGAGGCCACGCTAGTGGTTCCACATCTGTTCCTGTTCTCCTGGGGTCAAGTTCCCACGAATCTCTCAACAGGAAAGAAAAACCATCCAATCATGTATCTCTCCTTCACATGGTGTTGGGGGCAGGGGGTAGGTGCAGAAATAAAAGAGAACAACAAAGTAATCCAAAATCCTTCAGCAAACACTTACTTAATTCAGCCTTGTAATTAAGTCTTTTTTTTTTTTTTTTCAACACATACCAGGCCAAATTTTGATCTTTACGGTTTTCTCTCAAACTGAGAACGGATGGGCCAGTGCTCGGTCTCTCTAGCTAGACTCTGTGTCCCTCTAATGAGACCACCTTTTCATCCAGCTAAACCCCACCCAGCCCTAAGCAAACGGGTCCCCTTTGGATGTGGAACCCTCAACAGTCCCGCTAGCCCTTGGGTGCAGGCTGTCTAAACTGAGATCCCTGAACCTGCCCTGACCCCTGGGACCCCTTTGACAAGAAGCCCAGCTCCAAGGGCAGAAATAGAGACACAGACGTAGAGAACAAACATATGGACACCAAGGGGGGAAGTGGCGGGGTGGTGGGGGTGGTGGGATGAACTGGGAGATTGGGACTGACATGTATACACTGATGCGTATAAAATGGATAACTAATAAGAACCTGCTGTATAAATAAATAAATAAAATAAAACTCAAAAAAAGCAGCCGCTCCAGCCCGGTGAGAAATCCTAGCCTGAACTTCATCCATGCCAACGTGTACTGAGTCAGGCAAGTCAGCGTTCCACCCCAGGTGCACAGCCCACAGGAGTCCATGTGTGCCACACAGACAAGAACAAGAAACTTCACTGCAGGCCTGTTTATAACAGAAAAAGCCTGGACACAACCCAAATGCCTATCCTCAGAATGAATAGTGATGGCTGAACCTTGAACAACAATGGGTCAGGGGCGCCGACCCTCAAAAATCCACATATAACTTATAGTCAGCCCTTTGTATCCACGGTTCCACATCCTCGGATTCAACCAACCGTGGATCATGTAGCACAGTATGTATTTATTGAAAAATAAGCCATGTATAAGTGGACCCACACAGTTCAAAGCCATGCTGTTCAAGGGTCAACTGTATATTTAAACAGTGTGAACTTCCGTGGCACAGTGAGCAAGGACTGCTCTACACAACCTGGGTGACTCTCACTACAGGTTTTCCCGTATGAGACTCTATTTGCAAAAAGGTCAAAAACAGTCAGTAGTGATGAGGTGTGAATAGTGGTTACCTCAGAGGTTCATGACCTGGATGGAGGCGGCTCCAGGGAGCCCCCAGGGAGAGGCTGGGAATGTTCCACAGCTTGATCTGGACAGCGGTTTACACGGGTATTTACAGAGGTAAAAATCCATCGCACTGTACATCTAGTTGTATATTTTATTGGAGTAGGTTAATAAACATACACTTTCAAGCACCTTCTATGTGCTAAGTCCAAAGGGTATCTCCAGCAAGACTAACTGCTTAAGAGCTTACAGTCCAGTGGGGAAGAAAATACACTCAAATAACAATATAAGATTGCCCGTGGCCAGTGGGGCAGTTAATAAGAGTGGGCCAAGGGATCAGTATTACTCATGAGTCAGGGGAAGTGGTAGAATAAGCTGATCAAATGCAGGCATTTTGGAGGCAGCCAGACCTGTGTCCAAATCTTATTTCTAACTGTGTGACCTGGACGAGATGTTCACTCTGCTTCTTCATGCTACGGGGGAACCACAGTTGAACCACAGCACTTCATGGGTCCTTGTGAGGATGAGGGAAAGAATGTACACAAAGCACTGGGGCATAAGACTTGTTATTCCTGTTGCAGGGGGGGGCCTGCCCTGTGCCAGGCACCACAGTTCACAGATGTGAAACGGGCCCCGCCCCCCATGGCTCCCAATCCCACCATGAAGAGAGCAGCCACCATTCACCCACTCGGCAAACATCTAACAAAACAGGGGCTGTGATGTGGACTTTGCCCTAAAGGAGCCCACAGCCCAGTGGGGAATCAAGACACCTAGGACACAATGTAAAAGGCTTAAGTGCCAATGGAGAGGAACAGATAAAGAAGCAGGGGAGGTCTGAGCTGGGCCTTGAGAGGCAGAGAGGATTTGGGTATGTGGAGACTGCTAGAGAGGGAAAGGCAAGCAGGCAGAGGGAACAGGATGAGCAAAGGCACAGAGGCGGGAAGGCGAGGAGGCACGTGGAGAAAAGAGCGACCAGTCAAGTGTGGCCCAACAACAGGGGACCCAGTAAACAGGGCCTGGGACAGGGTCTTTATTTATGTGTCAGTGGGGAAGCCCCTGAAGGTTTCAGGGGAAATAAGCATATCAGAGCAGGGATTTAAATGACAAGCCAGACAACAGGGAGGTGGTTACATTTCTCCAGGGCTGGGGCCACGGGTCAGATTTCCTGGTCCCCTTCCTGACACCCAAGCTTGCATTCTTGATTAGCTGATGGTCAGGGGCCTGAATGAGGATGGCTGGTCCTTGAGGGGGTAGCCTTGACCTTCCTGCACTGGGCAAGAGGGTGAGGATACATTTCTTATGGTTCTTGTTTATTTAATTGTACTCGGTTTAACTTTTTGAAAAAGTCACATATTCACACGAATTGGCACTCAAAGCGTACAAAGGGTCTCCAGTGAACAGTCTCCCGGCACCAGCCACCATCCCAGAGGCACTGCAGTCACCAACTTCGTGTGAGTCCCCAGAGACCCTGAGCACATACATAAGCAAATGCACTTTCTATTTCCCTTCACTTTCACGCAGATGGAAGCACACCAGACATACATCCTGTACCCGCTGCCTTCACAGCAATCTATCTTGGTGACTGTCCTGTACCCGTGCATGGAGTCTCCATCTTATTTTTTATGGCTGCACAGTAGTCCATGGTTTGGATGGACCATAATTTGCCCCTGGCCCCTGCTGATGGACTTTCAGGTTGCTTCCAACCTTTTGCTATTAAAAATGAGGCAGCCATGACTAACCTTGCACACGTGGTAACTCATCTGTAGGATAAATTCCTAGAAGTGCAACTGCTGGGTGAAAGCCTTCAAGGATCTGTAATTTTGAAAATGTTGCTAGAGAGGCAGGATACATCTTAATTGCTCATCCAAAAAATAAGCCTAATTATTGGGGAAAATACTGACAACATGTAGTTCCAAGGATGCCCAGATGAAGACACAGTCGACACAGAGAGAGCACTAGGTCGGAAGATGGCTCTGGACCCAAATCAGCCCCAACTCGCCCAGCGTCCTGGTCCATGGACTCGCATTTCCTCACCTGTGAGTGAAGGGCCAGACCCGCTCAGCCCCTCGGCCGTTCCCAGAACGGACAGGCTCTGGTGCCCTGGTCCCAGGACAGGGGCAAGTGTGGGAGATGACTGGAGTCACCACGACACCCGGCCCTAATTGGTCTCCCTGGGCAAAGGCGCCATGGGAAGAGCAGGCAGGCCACGGAGCGTGCACCAGAAGCAGGTCTGGAGGGGACAGGTGGGAGCGCAGAGCCCGAGACGGCAGGGTGCTTCCAGTCTAGCTATCCTGAACGAGTGGCAAGCACCTCTGGCCACTTCCCGTGCGTGAGCTGTAGGGACACCACAGCCGTGTGAGACACACTCAGGCTCCACGACATTTACTGCTGTGTCCATCACGGACCTGTTAGGTAACAGCCACGGCCACCTAAACCTCACTCATCAAGCATGGCTGGCAGAGGATGGAGGAGGGCCTCTGGATACCTAGTGTCCTCCCTGTGAGTGAGGATAGCTGGGTAAACGCAGCGGGCAGGGCAGGGCTTCCTCCCACCCTCACGAGTCTGGCTCAACTACTGAGAACTGCAAATGGAAGAAGTGGTCTTCCGCCCCCAACCAAGCGGGACACGCCTCTTGGCAAAGCAAAGCCAGCATTTGAGAGGCAGAACCCTCGCCGACCTTCCCGTTTCCCAGCCCGTGCTCTGCTCCAACAGACTGGACAGCCAGGAACGCCTGTAAATCGAATCATACTTAAATGCACCGAGGTTATATCGCCATTAACATTTTTCTAACCACTGCCCAGGGCATCAAGCTTTCTTTGTAAAGCAAGTATGTACTGTTTTGCTAAATCTAGATTTTCACACGCCCTATTTGTTTAAAACCTACTGACAAACATGTAGAGATGTATTTCTCTTCCGGGAGGCGAGGCCTTGACGCCAACTGCTCTGGGAGAGCTCCCTCCCTCCACTCCTCTGCTCACCTGCCTGTACCTGTGCTCCAGGTGGTCCTGCTACCTGGAAAGCCCTCCCCTGCTTCTCCACCTGCCCACCTCCACTGTCCATCAGAGCCCCCAGCTCAACTGCCCTTCCCCCAGGGAGCCTGGGCCCCCCGCCCACCGGCAGGCAGAGCAGACTGCTGTCTCCTGGGGCCCCCACAGCTTTGACCGGATCCTCTATGAACGCTCTTTCCAAGTCTAAGCAGCAGTTCCACCTGCTGGCCTTCCCAGTGGGAATGCAGGCTCTCTGGGGGCCACGGCTGTGCTGAAGGGATCACTCAGAGGAGCAAGGGCACACAGGGTTCGAAATCAAAAACTTGGGTGCTTCCTTCCACAGGATCTTAGGCAAATTCACCCCTCTGAGCCTCAATCTATCCGTCTGCAAAGTAGGCACAATAATTCCAAGGGGCCAGGGCCATTGGGAGGATTAGATGAGATGATATATGTGAAAAGCAATTTGCAAACTGCAAAGCCCTACACCAATCCGAGTGAGGATTAGTAATATTAGTACTAAGAGCAGCAAGATCTTTTTTGACCCGCCTCCTAGAGTAATGAGAACAAAAACAAACAGATGGGACCTAATGAAACTTAAAAGCTTCTGCACACCAAAAGAAACCATAAACAAGATGAAAAGACAACCCTCAGGGTGGGAGAAAATATTTGCAAACGAAGCAACTGACAAAGGATTAATCTCCAAAATATACAAACGGCTCATGCAGCTCAATACCAAAAAAAACCAAACAACCCAATCAAAAAATGGGCAAAAGACATAGACATTTCTCTAAAGAAGACATACAGATGGCCAACAAACACATGAAAAAATGCTCAACATCACTAATTATTAGAGAAATGCAAATCAAAACTACAATGAGATATCACGTCACACCGGTCAGAATGGCCAACATCACAAAATCTACAAACAATAAATGCTGGAGAGAGTGTGGAGAAAAGGGAACCCTCATACATTGTTGGTGGGAATGT